AGACTGGGAGGGATGGGAGTAACAAATCCAGAGGAGATTGCTGCCACTGAATATCAAAATTCACTGAAGCTCACGGCAGCCCTCACGGACCACATAATAGCCCAGAATGCAACAGGGGAAGTGGATACCAGCGAAGTAAATAAGATTCGTAGGTCCATTACGACAGATCGACAGCACTGCCATAATGATAAGTTGCAGCAACTATTGCTGCAGGTTCCAGAAAATTTGAAAAAAAAGTAGCTATAGCACAGGAGGTGGGCGCCTCGGACTGGTTAACTACATTACCGATAAGGGCAAATGGTTTCAGTCTTAATAAACAAGAATTTACAGATGCCATTGCTCTAAGGTACGGTCGGCCAGTAGAAGGTTTGCCCTCCCAATGCGTGTGTGGCTCTTCCTATGATGGCGATCACGCCATGGTGTGCAAGAAGGGGGGCTTCATATGCATGAGGCATGACGAGGTAAGGGATCTCACAGCAAATATGTTAAAGGAACTCTGCCGGGACGTCATGGTAGAACCGACCCTCCTTCCATTGGATGGTGAGATCTTCCAACACAGGACTTCAAACACATCTAACGAAGCCCGTGTGGACGTCAGTGCTCGAGGATTCTGGACGCTGGGACAGCGAGCTTTCTTCTACATCAGGATTTTTGATCCCATGGCTGCATGTCACTGTAACCTAGCTCTCGATGCTGCACATAGGAGGAACGAGAACGACAAGAGAAGGGCATATGGGGAGAGAATTCAAAACGTTGATCAAGGCAGCTTCACTCCTCTAGTGTTCACAACCTCTGGTGGGATGGGACCAAGTGCAAGATGTTTCTACGCCAGACTCGCGGAGTTGATCTCCGAACAGAAGCAGCAGCCCAGAAGTTATGTTACAGCCTGGATGAGATGTCGACTGTCTTTCTCTCTCCTTCGGTCGGCTTTGTTCTGCCTCAGGGGAACGAGAGCTTCTGCCCCAACTCCGACAACTGCTGCAGATATTGACTATGAGGCTACTGTCACTGAATGCCGCATAGATCTGCGGCTCAACTAATTTAACACAGATAGGATAGCTTCTTATGTATTAGGATATTTAATATTAAGGTAATTAAATGGTGGCGAAGGTGTGGCTATTGGGGGCGGGGGGAGGCCAAAAAAAAAAAAAAAGTTGTAGTAGTGGTAGTAGTAGTTTTCCTTATTATCTAGTAGTGTCGTAAATATATTTTGCGTTTAAAGAAGTAATAATTATATGCATGTATTATAGAAATCCCAGGATATTGATATTGTATGATTGATATATTACTTACGACCTGGAAACAATATAATATATGTTAGATATGAATAATTCTTTCTTTTATTTGATGGTGTACGAGTTAGGAAGTTGATTCTCTCTCCGCGACCACTCGTGTATTCTCCTACAGTAACCAGATGTTTTAGGAGAGAGATTTGTGTATGTAGTCACCACAAAAAGTCCGTGTCATCGGTAATTAGAATGAACTCCTGGTGCGAACCCTGTGAGTCCTCTGGTTCAGTTTTGATTTTCAACGCATATACTGCATTAACCAACACGGTACAAGCCCCGCCCTCCTTGCAGCTCATTGGCTGATACATAATGTTCGATTAATATTGATATATCGCAAATAAATTCATATGTAACTGTTAAGGATACCCAGTTCTGGCTCACTTTAATACCGAATTTAATGTATGTAAAGATATAATTGCTTAACTTTGAAGATAAGAGTGGTAAAATAGGGTTTGAAGTAAAATAATATTTACTGTCGAAGTCACAAACACATTCAAGCTTTCAGATAAGGGGGGCGGAGCTTCTTAGCCTTGTACCGTCAGCTAAAAAGGCAAAACAAAACTATTTTTTATAATACAGTCACCGGTGTGTTCCAAAAGGTGGAGCTGATCATGTCTGGAGGGCCACGTGAGTAACCATCCCTCATCTCAGTGGACCACACGGGATCTAGATCAACGAATCAGGTATTTAGTCAATTCAAAGAGAGAGATATATTCGAAGTCTTCTCACAATAACGAGACAGGCTCATTCAGTCCCAAGAAGTTCCGACACCTGCTTTGAGATGTTTCATGTCTCATTGTCATGAATTGCAACGGTCAGTTCCCTTGTCGTTGTTGCCGCGTTAAGAAGTGTCACATTAAAGTGTTATATAGCGAGGGAATATGAGTTTAAGAGGTAAGTGGTGGTCAACACGGGTTGTATTTGTTGAGGTTAATGTGTTAACTATGAGGATGTAGTTGTTGTGAGCCGGAGCTGACTCAACCCATAACACAGCCAACTGTTAGAGGTATATAACATTACCTTATTCCCCTAAACACCCTTACCAATCACTCGACGAAAAACTACAAATAACATTTCGCAAGGCCTTACTTGTCGGAATACATAGGCATAGCTATAGTTAAATGGGAAATACAGTATGCAAATTTGCTGCCAGTGTTTACAATATGGCGTCTCGGTTCACATTACTGCCTTGGGTAGAGTTGTGGGAGGCTTCCGTTTAGTAACAGGAATCTTCGTATGAAATTTTGCAGGAAAATTTAGTTCTATTTCTCATAAGTTTCGCAGGTGTACCACCTATTTCCGATTAGTTATAAAGTGGAGACAACTTTTCTGTAACGTTAAGAACACGCAAATTAGTTGTAGGAATTACAGTATTCTTAATTTTTTTCACTATAAATAATAGATTTAAAAACCTTGCCTAACCCTAATAAAACTGCATTACGTTAATACTGTAAGCATTTAGTTGCTGGTAAATCTTTGGATGTAAAGAAACAAAAAATGTCGATGGACGGGCGTGACAGACTTATGTTAATTATTGATACTGAAACAAAAACAAATAGGGAATAAATATATAAAACTTGCAATTCCTGTGACTAATTTGAGAGGTTTTTCTAGCTAGGGAAGTTTTCGTCTTGCTAAAGGATTGGAAAAGGTTTACCACGGAAACTACAAACAAGATTAAGTGTTTCTAGTGTATTTCGTGGCGTTTTCATCGAATCTGACCTTCAGTTACGTAGGAAATGATCCACTACCAACAATTTGATCACTTAGAGAAAATACGGCATTATTTTACAAGAGGACTCTCAAAAAATGTTTATATATTAAAGTTGTTTTAGGTAAATCTCACCCATCTCTATCACATGTAAGCGAAATATTGAAAAAAAAGTTATTTACTGTACATACTCTTCCAAAAAATCTACAGATTCACCGCGTGTCGTCTGTTTGTTTACAGGTAACCAGCTCGGTCTGAGTGTACCTCACGTCCAAACAAAAGTGTAAAATAGCAGTACACCTGACCCTTCAATAAATTTGCTTTTAATGGTACTTGATAGAAAAAATAAGTACTTTCTGTTTAATATGGCGGGGGGTCCGGTGGGCGGACGGAAGTGTATAGAATGAAAGTTACTCAGAATGATGAGCTATATCTATTGCATGTTTTAAAAACCTTAAAATTGCCTAGAGTTCACTTGTAAAAAAAATCGAAAGATAACGTACAGAAGACAAATATTCCTCATGAAACAAATGAGAATCTCAGCACCAGAAACCGGTCAGTGTAGGTTAGGGTTGCTCATTTTTCCCAATTTTAGAAAATTGTGGGTGGGGGTGTTTTTTCCCATTATTTCGTTACTCCTAAATTCATTGGTGCCAGAATTAATGAAATCCAACATGTTCTAAGGGTCGCGAATCCAAATATAAAAAATGAATTTTTGCGAAAAAACGTCAAAACTCAAGCTTTTTCTCTTATAGATCGGCAATCGCGCTGCTTTTCACTACTTAACCCTAATGGCTGGCTAGAGCAGCTATTCAGCTTTCCATTGACACCTAATTCGATTGCATGCACCTCTTAGTTGACCTTCTAGTTCAGGTCAAAGGCTTTACCTGCGTTAAGGGAACCAGATTCCAAAATATTCATAGTTTTGACTTTTCCATTTATTCGAAAACACATATCAATATTTTGCCGTCACAGTCTTTTCCATGATATATTTCCCTCTTAAAAAAACAAACATCATTGAAATAGGTCAATAACTCTAGGAGGAGATGCAATTTGAAAGTTCAATCCCCCCTCTATTCAACTCTCACAGTTGCATCAGAGCAGACTTGCTGAAGCCACTCATCTGCTTCCTGTGCTTTTCCACAAGTTGCATGACATCCTGCAGCTGCTGCTCATCCTTCGTGACTGAACCAATGAAGTCCTGCATAAGCTTTATTCCCCTTTCGGCCACGTCATTGGTTACCTTCAGGCTTCTGGAGAAATCTTTCAGCTTCATGAACTCTTCGTTTTTCTCCCAGTCTTCCACCGGTGACATCAGCCATGCTGTGCCGCACACATGATGCTCCTTGAAGATCATCCATGAACGTTCATCTATCAGGTCGGAGAGCCGTGTAGTCTGTTGGATGACCAAGTTGTCGTTGGCGTAGTCGTTCGTTTCTTCTAGGCAGCTCAATTTGGTCGCCATCTCCTTTTTCTCTGCCGCACTCAACTTCTCGCTGCACAGCGACAGAACGACGGTTTGTGGCCTTAGATACCACAGGTGGCGGCTCGCGACCGCCAGCGCCGCATCAGCGGAGGAGTTCGTGATGCAGTTGCAGGTCATTCACAGGCGCATCCTCGGCTACTGGTGATTTCAGCCACGCCGGTGAATACAGCAGAGACACAAAGATCGCCATCCTCTGCAGCTTGACGCACAGGTCACTGCTGAGCTCTAGCTGGTGGCTAAACATGTAGATCTTGAGGTAGTATATGATCTTCGCCATCCAGCGAGCGTGGTGACATGCGCCAGGACGCAGAAAGTGTTGCCGCGCGGAGGATTCACACCGAGGACGAGGAGCGTAAGTTCTGCCGCTTCTCGGTAATCCTCTCTGGCCCATTCTGTGACGGTCAGCAGGTAGCTAACGGTCCTGTGTCGGAGGTGACTGAGCCAGTCAGACTCTGGTAGATTTGCAATGTCCAGCCTGAGATACTGAGAGTGATGTAGTTGACTCCACCTTTTCTTAAGAGTCTGGAAGAGAGGGTCCGTAGGGGCCGATGTTTTGCCGAAGATGTTGCTGGCAGAGGCTCTCACCACCAGTTCCATGACGTGGTGTCTGCACCCAAGCCTCAACAGCTGTTTTTCCAGCAGCGCCTCCAGATGGACAACCTTGGACTCGCCCTGTGTTGGACGACGTTGTATCAAAGCACAGTGCCTTGACGTTTGAAGCGCAGCTCCAGTCCTCGATAGCACGAGCTGTTGCGCGTGCCTGGGTCAGGCCAGTGCCGTCCTTCACTGGCAAGACAGCAAGCAGCTTCCCTTCCTCATGGCCGCGCCCTGAGATGAAGATGGCCTGTCGGTGTTCTTCTTCTCCCACGACGTTCTGAAATAAGAGAAATATAAAAATTCAGACAGATAATGAAGAATTATCAAGGCTGCCTTTTTCTCCAAGCTTTTTGTTAATGATTTGATACATTTCTAACAATATATTACAATAGTCTAGGCTCTGGTAAAATATTAATGTAGTACCTAAACGTGTTCTCACCTTAACCAGCTTACCATCCCAGTGCACCACTGCATGTGGTGGAGGCGTGAAGGCTTCCCTTTGTGCGGCAGCAACCTGACGAAGGTGTGAAGCTCGCGCCCGTCTCGCAGTCTCTCTCGAGATCCGGAACTCAGACAGATCGCCTGGCGGGTTAGCAGAGCGCAGCACTGCTGCGACCACCGAAACTATCTGCGAGCAAAAGCAGGCAAAGGTATCAGTAGAAAATGTCGACTGTTTAAGTGCTTATCAAATAATTAACAGAAATTTCAAACATTCCAAACACATTTATGGATACACTTACTTCGTTATTGGATATCCGAAGACGGTCAGCGAGTTCCTTTAATGCTGGCTCTTGGAGAATGCGACGTGGAAGCTGAACCGTCACATAAGGGTGCTTTGATGTGTACCTGCCAGGTTGTATCGCTGTGTCCTTTTTCTCCATTTCTACTTCCGTTGGGGTGTCAGCCACCACAGAGGTTTGAGGTCTCGAATCACTGCTGCTTGGTTCACAGGCTGCGAACCTTCCCTGTTTCGACCTTTGCTTCTCGACTCGTTCCTCCTGCTTTCTCTTCTTAGCGGCAAAAATCTTATCGTTACCACTCATGAACGCTTTTCTTTCTCCGCGTTGGTCTTGATAGAAGGCGATGTCTTGTTGTTTGTCGGCCGGTGTAAGCAGCCGGTTCTTCTCGATGTCCTCTACGGCGTCCGGTGCTCCGATGTCCCACAACAGGTCAAGTTGAGACTTGAAGTTTTCAACCTTGTCCTTTGCAGCCCTGTCCCGACTTTTTTGTAGACTTCTCCAGTGCTCCCATAACCTTGTCAGCTTCTCCCGGCACCCCCTCTCTGAGATAGTCTTGATGCGAGCTAAATTCCAGAACGTGAGTACGTTTCTCACTGTTTCTTTAAACGTCTCCTGTCTGTCACCAGATTCATTCACTGTGTGAAAGAAGAACTTCAGGACTTGACGCATCGTCGGGAGTTTACTGCCTCTAATTGACGATGCTGGCTGGCCTACTAGATAGATTTCAGTGGCAGAACGGGTAGTGGATGATGTTGGCCTGACAGTCCCCTTAGCATTCTCCCCCGACTGCGACTCACTCTCTTCCATGATTGTATGTATATAAACAGATGAACTCTGTAAGAAAAAAACGTTTTGTAATAAAACAAAATAGGCAAACAAAATAGGGTCACATAAGAGCAATTTAATCACCTGTAGAAAATACAACATAAATAGATAACCATAAATTTACTGCCACACTATATAGCAGATTTGAGTAAATTATAAAATAACACCACAGTACCAACAACAACACAACACATGTCAAAACACTGCAAAGAAGCGCAGGGTTTTAAAGCTGCCAATGTGAACCTAGTGAATTTATAACTCCGTTAACGCAGGTATGCTACAGCCTTTGACCTGACTTAGAAGGTCAAATAAGAGGTGCATGCAATCGAATTAGGTGTCAATGGAAAGCTGAATAGCTGCTCTAGCCAGCCATTAGGGTTAAGTAGTGAAAAGCAGCGCGATTGCTGATCTATAAGAGAAAAAGCTTGAGTTTTGACGTTTTTTCGCAAAAATTCATTTTTTATATTTGGATTCGCGACCCCTAGAACATGTTGGATTTCATTAATTCTGGCACCAATGAATTCAGGAGTAACAAAATAATGGGAAAAAACACCCCCACCCACAATTTTAAAAAAGTGTGAAAAAATGAGCAACCCTAGTGTAGGTAGTGAGTGAGTTACTCTTTGGGGCTCTGACCAGTACGATTTCTTGTACTGCACTGTGTCAGGTTATATCAAGCTGCACTGGTTTTTGTTGAGAGATGGAAGTATCCACCATCTCTTGTGTTACTGTTTATAGCATTTAGGTTTAGAGATCAATAAAGTTGTATATAATTAGAGTAATGAAAGAAAACTGTGGCCTCATTCATGAATGTTGTTTCAGGCAGGATGGTCCCTGGCCCAAGACGTGCAGAGTTGATACTAAGGCTTCCTCTACCACCAGGACATGGTAAGTACTACAAGTGTCTTTAATAATATTTTGTCTTAACTAAAACATTTTTAATATCATGGTTGTTCCTGTTAGTTGAAGAGCACAATTGGAGGTTAAGTTCAAGGATCGAGTTGCCACTTTTTTTTTGGTGGGGCAGAATCTTTCAGGCATATTTGTTGTATTTTATAGATGCTTATCTCATAGCAGAGAAACATAATGAAATGTGAAATAAATACAGTTTTTCTTTAGGGCTTTATGATCCTCTCATCAAAACTTCCCCAGGAAAGCTAAAAGTCTTCACCACAAACCATGATATACACCACAAACCAACTAAGCTAAACTTAATGCTATAACATATCTAGTGATTTAGTTTGATTTGGTTGGTTCTGTCGCTGATTGCGTACCCCCACAAACTGTTGCTGTTTTGTACGACCACTAATAAAGGTACTACTGTAGGTGCACAGTTATCATTGAATCCTCTTCCACTCAATAAACATTTTTATTTTAAAACAAATCCATCCTTGAAATCCTGCCAGTACATGATGCAGTATAAGTAACGACTTTCTCCTTAACCTTTACCCAAAAATATATAGGAGTAAAGTGGGATGGCAAATTAATCTGATACTTTTTCCAGGAAGGTGAAAGTGAACAGCTCCTCGTGGGACCATAACTCACCACGACACATCACACTTCAGGTATGTCCGAGTAAGTTTTGTATATCAGATAATGTTTTTGTACTTGCTCTGGGGTCTTCGACTTTGCTAACTGAGTAAGTCGCCATTATCTCTCATGTTGAAGATCGGGATCACGTTTTTGTATAAAGGTAATTGGGCAATTATCAGCCGTGGAAGTGTGGACTAAGATCTCGTATGATAATGCTCTGAGACTCCGTATATCTTGGCTGTTTGATGATGTGTTTACTTAGAATAATGAAAGATAGATACAGAGAATAATAACGACGAATTAGAACAGAAATGAATATTTGATAAAACAGTTAATACAACAATAGCAAGTTAGAATAAATTTTTGCGGGTTAGATTATATCCTTTCGACCTAAATATTAACTCCTGCTGTTTATCTTCATGATCTTGTAAGCACTCTCTTTCTTAGATAGCACAACTGGTAAGGTGCCATTTCGATGGTGTTATGGTAGGTGCTATTCACTGCACACTGCACAAACAGAAGACCCTAACTGGTGGCGGCATGTCGCGCTGGGTCACTAGTTTGGGTAGCAGCACATCCGCTCGTTTATGACGAGCTTTGCGTATTGTTCCGATCCCCTGAGTCTGTGACCCGTGTGTGGCATCAGACCACCATATGGAATGTGTAAATTCACATTAAAAAACGTGATGTCACTTGGATCGTATTTCAACATTTGTTTGTTGTATCTCGTGTGTAAGGAGCTTTCATTGAGCCTTTCAACTGATAAGTAAACGCCTTGCATGTGTTACATCATATTTTTTTATGTAAAATACATAAACGTGTAAACATATTATTGACGCTTGTGTACAGTAAAATATATTGATATTTATGTGTTGTCATTATGATCAGAGGCATAATTTACATATATATTAAGAATGACTTTCTTCAATAACCTGCCATTTTCATCTGGGAGAGAGAGAGAGAGAGAGAGAGAGAGAGAGAGAGAGAGAGAGAGAGAGAGAGAGAGAGAGACCAATGACAGAGGAAGTGAGGAATCGTTTGCTTGTTTATATTTTTTACTATTACATTAAGAACGGAATGTTATAGAAGAAATGTGCATAATATCCTCAGGTAAGGGACATTTTAAACAAGAATGTTCACTGGTCAATGATATATGTAGTTCAAGGTCTCGAGACAGCTGGCGTTGCACTATCTCATTAGTTTCGATACTGATTCATTCGGAAATTTGACACGGACTTTTTTGAGGTGACTGTACCTAGAGAATTACGTGTGGCTATGCGTACCTTGATAATTGTGCGTGTACCTGTAGACGTGTGTAACTGTGTGTACCTGCAGACGTGTGTGTGTGTGTGTGTGTGTTGGATCACTTCAGAGAGTGGAGGAAGCTTCAGGATAGATTCTCTTATAGACGGAGAGAGGAAGTTTGAGGGAAATTGACTGAACGGGAGGATATTGGAGTTACACCGAGGAAGTGAGTCGCTTGGTGGGGAGACGGGAAGACCGGGAGGGCGGGAGAACACAATGGACGGGGAGAGGAGAGAAGAGGTGGACGGGTATAGGATAGGACAAGGCAGCTGGGGAGAAGGACGAACATGGTGGGCGGGGTGAGAGGAGGACCAGGTGGGTGGGGAGAGGGGGAGGTCTCGGTGGGTAGAGAAGCCCAAAATGAATTACCACTTTTTCCTGACCTGACCTTTTACCTGACCTTACCTTGACCTGACCTCAGCCTGACCTGACCTTAGCCTGACCTGACCTTAGCCTGACCTGACCTTACCCTAACCTGAAGTTTTGCCTGACTTGACCTTTTGATCAATATGTGTAACTTTTGGTATCTTGTTCAGCTTTTTGCAATATTTCTTAACTGACTGAAGTGTGTCTTCCTGAGATCGATTCTGACCTTCGGATAACTGGCATCTTTTCCGAGTAGTTTGTAAAGCTTCTGAATGGTCGATACAGAGTTCAGAAACCTTGTGTGCTCGAGGGTGACTTGTAGCTTCTAGGTGGCTCGGAGAATCAAGGAAATTTTATATCTTCAAGGTGACATTCTTATTTTTCCCGAGAGGATGTTTTGGAGGTTGTAAATAACTCGGAGTACCTGGGAATTTATTTATTATCAAGGTACTACGTTAGAGTGATCTGATAATTCTCAGTTGTGTAAGTCTATAGAATTTAAGAATTAGTGTGGGAATGTTTTATATGACTCGTTGGGATTATAAACGTTTAGAAAATGAAGTTATGAGAGTCTTGAGGTGTAAATGTACTGTGTTATAGTGTAGTGTGACACCTGCACCTCCCTTGCTTCCTGTGTGTCTGGTTAAAGGGCAGTTTAAAGCCAGTTTTATATATACCACCACCACCGCCACCGCCACCACCACCATACCACCACCACCGCCACCGCCACCACCAC